AGGAACTAATACTGAAAGTAGCGGGTAACAAGCAATTAGATATTGAAAAAGAGGCAACTTTTTCGCAAGACGCAGTGTGGAATACCATAGAGATTTTCAAATATTCTCGAGATGAGGATAAAAATTTCGGAGATTATTTCAGAAGACATGAAGACATCTTTAACATTGACTGTCAAAGCTGGACAGAAGCAAAAAGCTACGCCTATTGCTTAGAATATTAGGAACTGAAGAATATACAAAGTTCATGGATTATATCTTGCCAAAAAAGACGAATGAATTAACATTTGACGAAGCAGTGACATGTCTTAAAGAACTCTTCAGTCCTAAAACATCACTCTTCCACAGGAGGTGGAAATGCCTTAACCTGGTAAAGGGCGATAATGAGGATTATTCCACATTTGTCACAATCGTAAATAAACATTGTGACAACTTCAAATTATCGGAATTTAACCCGGACAATTTCAAGTGTCTCATCTTTGTTCAAGGGTTAGTCTCAACAAAAGATAGCGAAATGTGCAAAAGAATGCTTTCAAAATTTACAAAATGAACCTGGACTAACACTACAACAATTATCGGAAGATTGCCAGAGATGCCTAAGTATAAAGTAAGACTCAAAGGACATTGAGGAGTCTGCTGTATCTCATATACGTAAGTTGAACAAAAGTCTACGTTCTTCACCCTCCCCGGAAAGAAAACAAAAATTCTATAATAATGAAAAAAGATTCTCACTCTCCCTGGAAAGAAAACAAAAATTCTATAATAAGAGAAAAAGTACAACATACAGGGCAAATTATGACGAAAATCAAAGCAAATATATGCGCCCCCCCCCCACATCTGCATGTTATCGATGTGGAGGACTACATTAGAACAAGGATTGCCATTTTAGATATAAAAACTGTCTTGAGTGTGGAAAAAAAGGCCACAAGGCATCCCAATGTAGGAACAGAAAAGATACTAGTAGAATAAGAGTTACTAGGATGCATAACGAAGACAACACCAACATAAGGAAAGATGTGGAACTTGAAATTTTAAATAAAAAGATTAAATTACAACTGGATTCGGGTTCCGACCTCACGATACTCAACCTACAGACATGGAGAAAACTTACATACACAAAAAATTGCAAAGTCGGTTACAGGCAAACAAATAAAATTCGAAGGAGAAAAAATCGTGAATGTTAAATTTCACGACAAAGCAAAAAACTTAAGATATACGTCATGAAAGATACTGAAAATCTAGTAGGTATCAACTGGATGCAGAAGTTCAACATTTGGGACCTACCTATCAACTCTTTTTGCAATAAGTTAGAGATTGAACCATCAGATGCTATAAAGTTTAAGGAAGAATTATATAACCAATTTTCTGAGGTATTTTCGAGCGGGTTGGGATGATGCAACAAATTCAAGGCCAGAATCAAATTAAAAGAAAATGTTCAACCAGTGCCATGTGCTACCATAGATGAAAACAGTAAAGAGTTATACAAGGCAGTAAAGGAACTACCTGTGACTTTGCAAGAGATAGGAAGAGAAGCGGAAAAGGATGAATTTATGCAGAGGACGAAGGTAAAAATACAGTCTGTGTTTGACAAATTATTACCAAACAAGAACAAATACCAGTATACACCTATTGTACTCAAGAGATCATTTAAAACAGGAAGAGAAAAATTACCGAATCTCTGGTTATCGACCATAAGAGAAGAAAATACTAACTCCCCCCAAAAGGGATCTAAGGAGAGGGGTGTTATGGGGTCCACCCCTTTTTCATACAAGTGGACTCAACCGGTGTGTACTTGTACTGTTGCCGGTGAATACCCGGGAGAGGGAGATACATTGATACAATGAGGTAACCGCTTTGTAGGAGTCACAGTTGCAAGCACATAGACTCAGAAGGAAATCCTACTTCGATACTGAATTTCCCAGACTCTATATATATTATTATTGCTACTAACCGCATTTCTGGATCTACTAACCGTATTACCTATTGTATTATTATGTTCAATACATTTATTTGCTATATTTCATTCCTGCGTTTGTCATTCATTTGAGACCGGATTTCATCCCGGAATCCACAACCCATTTTAGAGGAAGCATTTTCATTATTATTATTTTATTACTGTTTTACTCCTTCTACTGTATTCTCTGTTCCTGACCATCTTCCTCTCCTTCGGAAAGACTCTAATGTCCACATGCATGGCCTTGGTGTATATTTTAGGTAACATCTCCCACTGGTAAAGGAACTCACTCTTGAGTCTCTTGACTATTCTTACATGTGCTTCCATTTTTCCCTATTACACTCAGTCAGATATCTCTTCTTCCTCTATCATTCCTCTTCCTCTTATGACTGTGACATGTTTAATAAAATTTCTGATAGTATAGATAAGGCCCTCTCTCTACATCTATCTGCAAATATCTTTGTGTTCAGCAGTTTCAATGCCCACCACATCAAGTGGCTTACTCACTCTAATGTCACTGACCTCACTGGAATCCAGACCTTCAACTTCTCTATTATGCAATCTCTCACACAAATAGTTGACTTCCCCACATGTTTTCCCGGTAATTCTAATGAACATTTTTCTCTACTACTCCTGTTATGCACTACAGCTCTGTCCTCTTGTAAACTGCAATCATGCAGTGGTGTCTACAGATATCTCTTTCTGCTCTCCCACTAGTCACAATCCACCCATTAACAGAATTTCTTTCTGTTATCAACACACTGATTGGGACTCATTTTGTGACTATTTTTGTGATGTCCCCTGGAAAAGTATTTTTAATCATCCTGTTCAGAAATGTGCCACTGAGATCTCTTCTTAGTTGAAAGCTGGCATTTAAGCTTTCATTCCAGCTTGGAAATACCGAGTAAAACCATGATCATCTCCTTGGTTCACACCTGCCTGCTCATCTGTTATAGCCCACAGGAATCACTTCTTCCAGCTATACAAGAATGACAGGTCTGATTGTAACAGACAACTCTATGTCACTGCTCATAATTAGTGCAAGCGTGTTCTCAAAGAAGCAAAGTCTGATAGCATAAAACACCCTATAGCCCCTCGGAGGCTTGGTTCTCAGAATTACTGGCGACTCTGCAAGAGTGTATTGAACAATAGCAAATCTTCAGTCTCTCCTCTCTTCAATTAATTTGAAGTATTGACATTTACTACTGATAAGGTAGAAGGCTTTGCCTGGAAGTTCTATTCCAACTCCACTTTCGACTCATCTAAAACACCTCTGCTAGATTTTCTCCATGGAACAGAGGCTACACTAAGTGACATAGACATACCTCTGTCACATGTTTCTGGCATCATCTCTAAATTAGACCCTGACAAAGCAAGCAAATGTGATGGGATCCCTGTCATCATCCTAAAGAAATGTGCTCCTGAGCTGGCTCCTGTTCTCTCCAGACTTTACAACAAATGTCTTGTTGCTTCCTGCTTCCCAGCTTATTTTTTACTTCATCTTATTACTGTTGCTTTTAGAAGAAGCATTTTCACTATTATTATTTTAGAACTTTTTTACTCCATCTTATTATTGTTGGATGAAGCCTTTTTGTTATTATTATTTTATTACTAGTTTTATTCCATCTTATTGTTGCTAAAATTTAAAAAATGAGAAATAAAGAAACAGTTTTCAATAGAATTTGAGCTTGCATTTCACATTTTGGACATTTTAGATATTTTCATGATATCTATTAATATCAATTTCATAAAACATATAACTTGAAATTCATTCACTGTTTGGCATGGAAATAATAAAACCTGCAGAATGCTTAATAATTGAGAACTTTAGTTTATACTATCAGTATAATGAAGAGAGTGATGTTGTTGATAATGTTGCTAAAGTTGATGATAATGCTAAAAACATGACTGATGAGAGAGGGATGCAATGATATTGTACTGAATGCATCATATTATAATTCTGCTTGTTCCTTAGTTAGCGTCTACATTATACCCTGTCAATACATCATAATTAATGGACAGTTCCATTTTCAATGCAAGGAAAGATGAAAGGACATATCAGAGATTTTAGTTAGTTTCAGTGGGGAAAAAAATAAGCAAGAGAAGATGGAGAGGGTGATAATGCTCTCATGTATTTAACATCTACTTCAGTGAAATGGAAAAAAATTGTCAATTTCAAATCTTTTCATCTGTGCCATCTTACTTTTTAAAATAATGCTCTGCATTCATACTTATGATTCTCATTGCAATATCTCAAAGTTGTTAAGCTCAAATATTTAACAATGCAATAGGAGAGATTCTGTTGATATTTTATAGTCATGGAGCTAGCAATGAGCTTATTTATTCATTAAATATTATAATACATCAAAAAATTCAGATAGGAAAACCATCAAATTTTCACGGTTACTGCTAGTTGAGGTTAAAGTAAGTAATGCCATTAGTATTTATGAGAAATGTTTTACTTGTTGTGAAGAATACATATATTCTAAACACAGTTTATTTAAACTAGGATGGCATGGTGGCATAATGGATAGTGGCTTAGATTGAGGAATCAGAGAGCTGAGTTCAAATTCTAGTCAAGTTTGTTACATTCACTTACATGCAAATACCTTTGGGAAAGGTATGAATCCATCTCTTCTCCCCATAGCTATGGGTTAAATAACAGGACAGACTGAGTCCTATAGCCTTGGGTGGCAACTAGTCTAGGAGAAGGACAACTCTAAATTCAAAGCCTAAGTGGTTGACAACTAAACCGGTTCCCTCACCCAACCTTGGTCTGATGAGAAGGGTAAGAAGAACTTCAACAGTACAAAAACGAAATCTATTAAAGAGGGGATGAACTCCTTAGAGTCAACAGCCAACAACCCCAACTATGGCCTCACTAACCCTCATTTGTTGTGAGTATGGCTACTACCCTGAAAGCAAGGTCAACCAGGGAGGGGTTCCTCTAATAGGAGTGAAAAGGCCCTAGATTTGGATTTGGATTATTTGGACTAATTTACTCATTTTTGTAGTAAATTCATCCAAACCAACTGTATACAAACAGGTTTATGGTCATATCACATTGAAACACCAGTTCCCATATGATCACCGAAGTTAAGCAATGCTGAACCTGGTCAGCATCTTGATTAGTGACTGCTTGGGAATACCAGGTATTGCTGCAAGCTTGAATGTGCAGTGTAATTGTTATGATGTTGATTTGGGGTTAGTAGAGACAAACGCCAAATAACACATAACAATAAAAAGGGTTTTAATAGGTTGGTAAAAAGGTACAAAAATCGCCTGAGTAGTCAATAACTAACTCAGCTAAGAACTTCTCTGTCTATCTGTCTTCCCCATGTCAACTGACATGCCACTATTTAAAGTCTTTGTTTACAGACGCAGACAAGTTCATCTTCAAGAAGGGTGGTATTACGACAGTAATATATAATGGCTCAGAATTGTTAATTGGAGAGGTGAGTTTGTTATATTTACTTACACACAAATACCCTTGGGAAAGGTATGAATCCACTGCTTCTTCCTCCAGCTATGGCCTAATTAGTAAATTAATCACTAAACCATTATTATCTCAAAAAAATTCTTACAATCTAAAAATATTTTCTGTCTTTAAATAATATGTAAAAGGTTGATAAGCCATAGAAAATGAATGAATGAATCAATCAATCCATACAATGACTTGAATATCTTGTCTAACAAAATTTAAACAAGATTATCAGTTTTATCACCGTAGTGATTAGTAGTGATACTAATGGTTTTTGTATGGATAATTTCAGTTTTGATGTTTTCTTTACTGATATTGATGACAATGATAAAAATGATATCAGTTCCAGTTGCAAATTATATCCTGAATTTGCCATTCATTAAAACATTTTCTATCAAGATAATCAATTCAACAGTGATTTGGATGTCATTTGTTTCTGGTGATAAGGATGCAAATTTTAGAAACCTTTTCATTTGAAGTGCCAAAGAAATTAGGGACAGAAGCACACTGGATGGTCGCACTCTTCCCCATTTGTAGGAATGAAATCAACCAGATGATATCTATATGACATGATAGGTAAAAAAAGTAGTGTAGCTATGACAGCAATGGGGGTGTGCTATACTGCTTTAGGATTTCTCAGACAACAGTAGGAAGAGCAGGTATTAATTTCGACTTCCCTGGCATTGTAAAGTATACAGTTAGAATAGTATACCATCTTATATATAAAGTACAGTGTATGCATGTGCTTGTGCGAGTGTGTGTCCAAGCAACTCCTCTGCTCCTACTGGTCCAATTTCAATTATTCATAGTTCACTCAAAAGCCCTAGAAAAGTTAGGCACAGGGAACAATTTTTGTTGAGCTCAGAATCAGGGTTGCCAGATTATGTGAGGTTAAAAATATATATTAATATATTATACTATCCATTATCGTTGCTTTCATGGTTCAAGGGGAGTAACTCTTATTTTCCTTTTTTATGCAAAATTGCAGTGTACATTTTGGTATAAACTAGCTTAAAAGCCGCCCTAACGGGTGTCATTTAAGCTAGCTCCTATGGTGGACTCCTGGTTTGGCCATCATTACAATAGCTAGGGCGGAGTAGATATGATAGGCATCAATAAACTACAGAAGAGATCAAAATTGATCACTGTATTTAAGTATTGAATTAATATTTAAGCTTTCTTTGTAATAGCAGTGTCAACAAATAAACAGTCCTTTTGAAACACTATTTTTTTGTGGGTACAAAGGTTAACCATTGCTCAATTTCTTTACAGCTGAAGAAGAGACTCAAAGCAATGGATATGTTGTCCTGGTGATGGATACTAAAAATATCATTGACTGAACACAGGAGAAATAAGAAAGTTCTAAAAATATGGGCACTAGAAGAACACTTGTATTTAAAATCAGAAAGAGACAACTGAAATCTCTGGGACACATAATGAGAAAAAAGGGCTTGGAAAATGTAACACTCACAGGACATAATGAAAAAGCAGAATCAGAGTGGAGCAGCAACTAACCTACCTAATGAGTGAATGGATGGTAAAGCAGGCACAAAGAGGGATGGTAAAAAGCAACAAGAGTCTTTTTTTTTACACTAAATATTCACCCAATACAAGGCCCAGATTTTGGAACTGAGTTTATCAGTTCTACTCCACCCACCATATTCACTTGGCCTTGACCAACCAATTGTTACCTTTTCAATTGCTGCAAAACACTTTCATGAGGAAAACTTTCTTTAATGAAAACCAGACTCAAAAGTTTGATGAAAACTTTTTCACATCAAAACCGGTGAAATTTTTATTCAAAAAGTATTGAAGAGCCGAGCTGATAAATGCCAACAAGTTATTGCAAATAATGATGAATATATATGCAAATGAAATGCAATTGTACTTTATTTTTTTTTAAGTATAAATTTGATAAACAAAAACGAAATTATGACTCATTACGCTTACAGTAATATTGATGATGATGCTGATGATGATGGCAGCAATGATGAATGTGATGATAAAATTCATGGGTTCTGTTGATGATGGAAGCAATTGCAGTCACAATGATGGATATAGTAACAAGAGTCACGTTAGTGATGGAGTAAATGATGATACAAACAGAGTCAAAATTGCTTCTGACAATCATCGTGATCAATAGCCAACAGCTCAGATATCCCTTCTCCAATGTAAATCTTCTTGCTCATCTGATGGATATTTTTTCCTTTTTTTTTTTTTTTTGCACACATCATGGCTGCCACATCTTACATTTCAGATGAACATTAGTTTGGCCATGGCATAAGATCATCTTTCATTCCATGTTGTCCCCACCAACTAACCAACCAAACATCGAGTCAGCTAGCCAACCAACAATATTGTAACAAAGAAAGGAAAAAAAATTCTAAATAAATATTGTTTTTTCTTTTCAAGAATCCAAGTTGAAACTGGTTGATCTAGTAATAAAAATTTCATATATTCATTATCACTGTGAAAAAATAATTTCGGACTTAATAAATCTATTTGATTATATACAGTATTTCAGAACATTAAAGACACTATTTTTTCCTTGAAAGAAGTCTGCAAAATTTATTCTATATCCTACAGTAAAACACTTTCACTGTTGTTATTTTTTATTAGTTTTACTCCGGCTTCTTAAATTAAGCATTTTCACTATTATTGTCTTACTAGTTTTATTTTATTTATTGTTATCTTTTAGATGAAGCATTTTCACTATTAATCTTTTATTAGATTTTATTTAATTTTATTTTAATTTTTTTTTTTTTTGTTTAAATTTTGGAAACCAAAAGTAAAATACATCCCTTAGGCTGCAATATTCTTAACACTGGGTAATATGACATTTACTTTATCAAAACTAATGATAGTACTTGGGGAATTAACTCCTTAGTAAATGGTAATAGTAATGGTAATAATAGTTGTTTCCTTACAAGGAAAACATGCAGCATTCATTGACTGAGCAGCCAGTGCTAATTTCAGTTGAAATTTATAAAATCTTTCTATTAAAACAATTTTTCAAGAAAATAGGTTTCTCTAATCAACTGTTATTGCTTTTTCAAGTACAGACGGGGGCTTTCTTCCTAATCTTTTGTTTGATGTAGTGTGGAACATCAACATATTGATTATGTCATTATTTTCTCTTTGATTTACATGTGCTATCCATTTCAGTTGTTACTGTTGCTGAAAGTCCTCAAGGAATGTGGTTTATGTTATTTTTTTGTGATTCTGTAGCACTAGTTAATGAGGTTCAAAGAAATATGGTTCTTGCTAAGACTTACATGCTTCATTTGTTCACTCAAATCTATTTTTAATCATTCATCTGAGAAAGTATTCATATACAGCTGACAGTTTAAATATTTGTCTTCAGTATTTACTAATTCCATATCCTGAATTTTTATGATGGATTCAGAACATGCGTTATCATTGCTTTCATTCCAATTCTAGAACATCCTGGTATGATGATAAACTACATCTGGTAGCAAAACCTTTAATCAGAAGGTTTTGAGGAGTTTGGAACCACCTTTTAATTGCTGTTTGTTGTTCTCAGGTCCACCCTGACCCAGGGTGGTAGCACCTGTTAAGGTCCCAGCTATGGGCAAAGAGTTAACACTCAAACTGGGTTCAAAACACTATGAAAATATAAAAATGCAATTTTATAGTAAAAATACCAGCAATATATTTTTGAAAAAAAAATATATTACCAGCAATACATTTTTGAAAAAGAAAAATATTATCAGCAATACATTTTTGAAAAAAAAATATATTACCAGCAATACATTTTTGAAAAAGAAAAATATTATCAGCAATACATTTTTGAAAAAAAAATATATTACCAGCAATACATTTTTGAAAAAGAAAAATATTATCAGCAATACATTTTTGGAAAAAAAATAATACCAGTAATACATTTTTGGAAAAAAAATATATTACCACTTACCAGCAATACCTGTCTATATTTCTGAGATGAGGTATTATGTACACGATTTACATTATTTGGACTATTGTCCTCATCTTTGTTGCCATATTTATCAATGTTTCAGCCAATGTACACTCTGGCCTTCTTCAGGTGGTTGGAATGTCAAACTGAACCTTTTATTTCACTTGCTGGGGTAGACTGTTCTAGTTTCATGTGCCATGTCTAATGGGTGTCAGTTATCAGTTATCTAATGTTAATTCCCCTCTACAAGTTCTCCACTGCTTTAAACAGGTATTGAACTCACAACGCTTTGGCATTGCTTAGATCCAGTGACAGGACCCAAAGAGTTGTGAGTTCAATACCTGTTTGAGGCAGTGGAGAACTTGGAGAGGGGAAATAACAGGAGATAACTGATAACTTACATCCATTAGACATGGCACGTGGAACTAGAACAGTCTACCCCAGTGAGCAAAATAAAGTCCAAATAATGTAAATAGTGTACCAGCAATACATTTTTGAAAAAAGAAAATTTTACTACCAATGAATACATAGTCTATTCATATGAACTTATCCTATAAATTTTGTCAACATTAAACCAATTGAGGTTGATATGCAGTAAAACAAAATAAACCAAACTAATTCCACTTCATAGTTTTTGTTTTGGAAAATGTTTGTCTTGAAGAATTAGGTTAAGTTGATTGATTTGATTTTTATGGCTTATCAACCGATTAGGTTAAATAAAATGTGGTTTATCAAACACTATAGA